GCGCAGAATTTGAAACATTCTCTTTCTCGGCTACGTTTAATCCTTCGTCTGACAACTTCTTCTTGTACCTTAATTGATACAAAAATATATAATTAAGAAGGATATATAGCTTGTATTAGAGTTATGAATTAGTCCACAGTATATGAACTATAATTTTATGAAATTTGAAACCTGCTATCATGAATAATCATTTAATTTAAGAAGAAACTCTTGAACAATTAACGTTTATTTCAACTTGAAACATTGATTCATACAAATCGTTTATTGGTTAACAGCAAAAATGCTCAAGCTTTACCGTCAGGAATATAGATGAGCTCTAGTTTGGAATTTGGTTCATATGTCTTATCACAAATGTAAAATCCTTTACGTTGCAACTGAATAATAGTTCCTTTCTTCAAACCCTTCAATGCAGGCTCGCCGGACATATCAGTGTAATGCTTAAGAGAAGGTTTAATTAACTCTAACAAAATCAAAGCAAACCACAGAATCATAGTTGATGAATTGCTTCCAATCTTCCTCCTTTCCAACGATAGCCTTGCTGATAATATGGTCATATACAGCTACTCGTAATGGAATAACACTTTCCTTTTCGCCCTCTGCGATCCAAGTGACTTTCAAAGTTTTTTTGAAATCCTGGGCAGGTTTAAGGATCAATCTTTCTTTCATATCAAACCTTGTTCTCCAAGTTCAGTTTGACAGCAATTTTCACAACTTTGTCTCCATTATTTTCGACAGAAGTGATGATCATATTTCCCCAGTTTATGAACGTGACAACGTCTCCAACCTTTACTGCTTTAGCGTCTACTTGTTCAAGCCATAGTTTCCCAGAGTTCCAAATCTTTTTTGTTCCGATATCAGGATTCTAGAAGCCGAACGTGCATAAGACCTAACAAAAATGATTACCTTTGGATGTAAAGCAATATCAACCAATTCTTTACTAGCAAAGTCCTCAATGGTAACCTCTACCAAGTCAGAAGTTTCGAGAGCAGTGTATCTAGAAAATTGAACTGAGCTGTCTCATTTTAATATGTTTGCTACCTTCCAGCAATAGGATCAATGACTTTTTTATTGAATGCCCAGATTTTATCCCATTCCATCATGACAACAGAACGTGATCCACCCTGAGCTGCGATGAAACTCTTCAATCCCTCTACTGTCATTCCTCGTCTCAAAACTCCACGAACAGTTGGTAATCTTGGATCATCCCTGGAACAATGCATATTCTGATGTGTTAGTAAATGGATAGAAACATACCAGCCGTCTACATGCTTCTCGTCAACAAACCAAGTCAATTTACGTTTGCTCATAACAGTATTTGTCATGTTCAATCGAGAGTATTCCCAAATATGTGGTTTGCGAAGGTTTAAGGCATCACAGATGAAATAGAATTGATCATCTCTGTAGAACAGTTTCATAATAAAAATTTATAACACAGAAATTTAACCTGTCGTGATACTCAGTGGTACGTAAGGTATGGGTCACTCCCTCTATAGAGTCAACAATTGGACAAGTGAAATCGTAAGTCGGGTAAACTTTGTATTTTTTTCCTGTTCTCACGTGCTCTTCAGGTTTGCATCTTAAAATCATTTGAGCTTCATTGGTTCTTCATGTGAGCGCTAACCTATAAATTGTGGGATCTCTCAGAGTTCCGTTGTTCGATTTCATATCAATCTTGATACGAGCACAACATTTCTGTCCACTTTCAGAACCGTTCTTCATTTCTTCCCACATTTTCAAATTCTGCTCCACGCCTGTGTAATCACGTAATAGAAACGTTTCGAAAAGATTATCCCACTGTTATTTCTGTTTTTACTGTCAACTCTCTCCTCACGTTCTTTCCTCATTGTCTCAGTATCAGTGTCGTCAATGAAAGCTTTACCTTCCTGAAGAATGATGACTTGATTGGAAAACGCAATAACCAACCTTAATGAGCCTCTCGCACATATCGAGCATAACTTCGAAGTGATCCGAGGAGTGAGACCAATGATCCGGTTTGATTTCAAGTAGTGCGAGGTCTTCGATAATTACCTGAACACCTAACTGAATTACGTAAGACAAACTGATTCACCTTCTCGAAATGAGAGTTCTCTTTAGCAGGGTTGGTATCATCGAAACGGAAAATGAGCTTTCCTTCAAAAGCTTGTTGATAGAATTGATTTAATAGAGCTGCTTTGGCATGACCAATGTGGAGATATCTTGATAGGGAACTGATTTTATCTTTCACGGGAAAATACAAACCCACTAGCTTCAGGAGGGAAACGAACCACAACTTTTCCCATTTCGGCACCTGGTAACTCCACAAACTTTCCTTCATCTTTCTGTTTCTCTTTCACGTTATTCTGAAATGATTTTGAAAACATTATATAATAAATTTCACCAACCTTCTTAGCTGCAACTTCAAATTTTCCAACCATCTTATGGGCTTCTGCCAAAGAAGGCTCTGCAAGAAGCTTATTGAAGAGAGCTGAGTGCTCTTTTTGCAGCTGAAACAAAGTATTAAAAACTCATAGAACGAAGATATGAATCTTGAACGATTGCGAAAGGCATCAATGTCAAAGTATTGACAATCGCAGCGAAACATTACGCAATACTGAACAAAATTGGCTTGCACCACGCAATATTTAAGAAGACGTTTTTCAGTGATATATGAGTTTGGAGATAAGGTAAGAGAACAATGTGGTTGAAAAACATCAGTAGGTGATATTACAAGAATTGCAAGACAGAAGCCACTAAAAATGTTACATTTGGAACGCAAGACTGAACATTTAATTAAAAGATTGGACGATCCAATCAAGTCTAGACTATGTAAATATAGTTTTTGAATATATTTCTATTTAATAAACATGTGGCATTTAGTGGCTTTTCTGCAAGACTATAGATTTTATGATGAGGTGGTGATGGAACACAATCTTCATGGCTATATTCCATATATTTGTTAAAGAGCACAAACTTACTGCTTCCGATGAGCTGATCAATGTCCACAGAGCAATATCAGCAACTGTTAACTGTCCATCGAACAGTGTACCATCTTTTGAGAACTTCAAGCCCTTGAATAGTTCAGCAACTGAACGTTTACCAAGAGTCACTTCTTGACAGGCGCTAATAACATCATCAACCTTAAAGTAAGTTGTTGATATCTACTATGACATCCAGTATACCTGTATTTTTTGGAAACTATTTCTTCCGAGAAGTTGAGACTTCAGAGTGTTACTTTGAGCAACAAAGCGTGCTATAGTGAAATCATTCTGAATTTTGATACCATCTCTGTAGAACGGAAGAAAAGAAGTGAATAGAACTAATAGAACTCACAAATTCAACTCTGTGCTGAGCGAACTATCAAGTTTAACCGAGTTCAGATTGAAGCCAGAGTAGCCAATTGCCAATAAGGTGGCGTACGGTGGTTGCTCCTTATTCCCAGAGATTGAGAAACTTCTCTGGAACGCTACCATTTTCACCTGAAAATGCATAACAAAGGTTATCAGTTTGGAAAACTTCTGTTTCAGATACAGACAGATATTGAGCAATGACAAGAGAATTGTTATCATTTTACACAATGCTCTAAAAGTTAAAGGACTGTAACAGCGCGGTGAGACGATTTCTAAATGTTCTGTATAGACAGTTTTAAAACTTTATGAAATTTATTTCTTGAATTGCCTTTCAGGAAGTCAGCCGAAGAAAACTCCATCTCCATTCATCCAATTTTTAGCATTTAAAGGAGACGTATCACCGAACTTTTAACAGAGTTCAACAGAAAGTCATGAAGATAAATATAAGTTTTCATAGTTTTGATTGTTTTTGGAAGTGCCCTTGAAATAAATGTTTATGTTTTCTGTTCGAATTGATTGACAGAGTAACTGAATTTTCCCTCAAAATCTAGTGTTATTTTATTTTTATTTATCTCGTCAATAGTAGATAATGCTTATGAATGATGAAGCACGTACTGATCGCTAAATTCGGGATGGTAAAACTGTTTCTAATTTTGAGAAGCTATTGGAGCTCATGAATCTCTATATGGTTTAATGGCCTAATTGAATAACCAACCAACAGATTTTGAGGACAACAGCCTCGCATTTAAAGGGCGGGAGCTTCGCGTTAGGATGAATTTTCGAGCTTGTCTTGTATTGAAATATATTAAATAAACTGAGAGTCTTCATTATTCTCATTATATTTATCATATGCTATAAAACATGTTAGATTATCCGGTTGTGTTCCGATGTGCGGAATGTGCAACAGAATCACGTGAGTTTCAGGTTGCGTTTGTATATTTCTCTTCTTCTCAGCTACTCTCGATCATTTGGAATCACATATATGGAGCCGGCACTTAAGGAGTTTTCCATATAAATGTTCTATATGTTCATATCCCGCTATCAATCATAGCGGTCTTGTAGCTCATTTCCAAACCGAACATCATACGTGTAGAGTACGACTGGCAATTTTAAACTACTTTCATCGAGTTTTTCCAGCATATTGAGTTCAAAAGAAAAGTTTCGGATGAAGTCAAGTTGCGGGATATTGTTGCGGCTTCGATTGTTGTACCCATTTATGATGATGACGATGAACATATCTTCGATCAAAATCAGGAATCTCAAGTACAACTGCTTACTCTTTCAACCAACGGTTCTGTAGTCTTTAGAAGAAGTACATGATACAGTAGTTTTGGAAGATAATACTATAGCTATGGAAGATATCAATGTAGGGAATCATATGATACCTACCCACATTGTATGTTTTTTTTGGAGAACTTGTATTTCATTCAAAAATTGTAACAGAATGATCAAACGAACGAGGATAATGTGATATTCATGGGGATGAAAGAAGAGTTTGGAAAGGTGGTATTCAATATTCCTCTAAATAAGAAAGTGTACAACGTCTGTTCAGGATATACAAATGGTTGAAGCAACTGAAGAACAAATTTTAGATTTACAAGATAACTTACAAGGACATAACACGGTATTTTGGGATGGGATTCGTCATGTTGCTTATGTGTCCGACATTTTAGTTAAATATGCCTGTGATAGAGGAAACTGGTGATTTAATAGATGGCGATGATGAATCGTCGTATGCTGTGTATTCTGGTCACGATCTATTAGATGAAGCTTATGAGTATATAGACCAAGATGGAAATACTGTTTATGTGACCGACCATTACCCAGCAACGGTACTCATATTATTTTATGTAGTTACAACTGTTCGGCATATAGAGTAAAAGTCAGAGAAATATGAGATTACGTGTGCTGAAAGACAGGCATATGGATATGGTGGTTAACAGGGTAGCGAATATTGGGAAACGTCGACGCGGCAGTACAGTTTGGGAATGTCCAGAATGTGGTAAAATTGTTAAAGTAATTTATATTTATTTGTTTTGAACACTCAAGATTTTTGTTCAGTATCCATCAAGAATAGAAGAACATCGAAGATCACATACAGGAGAAAAGCCTCATCAGTGTGAAGAATGTGGTCAAAAGTTCTCTCAAAAAGGAGCTTTGAAATGTCACATGAGGCTTCATTCAGGTGTTGTATGCTTTGAATGTTTTTTTCAATTTGTTATTTTCAAGGAGAACGTCCTTATCCCTGTACGTGGGAATGTGGCAAATCTTTTGTCTCTGCTTCGGCCCAGAGAATGCATGAGAAACAACATAGGTTCATAATAGTATTTAACTTGCTTTTATTTTAATATTAATTAAGTGGTGAACGGCCTTTCAAATGCAGAGTATGTGGTCGGTTATTTGGCAAACGATCTCATCTAATAAGACATGAACAGGTATATAATTTTTCGTTGTGGTTCCGAATATGTTAGTCTTCAGACAATACATAGAGTTGAAACAATAGATCCACGGCGAATTCTCGCTAGAGGTTTAGATGCTGCTGGTGATCACGAGCCGACGTTGAAAGGAATAGTTGAAGGAGTCTTACAAGAAGTCTTTCTTATATGTCTTTATTCACATATTCCATCTGTTTAGGTTCGACAAGAGCGATTCGAAAAGAATCTGAAAAAGGAATAAATTAGAGTAGAATTTATCCAACCTGTAAATAACGCACATTGGAAAAAAAATTGATTTTCTTGTCAAATTGACAAATCCAAGATCTCGAAAATGCGAAAAGTGATTGCCCGCTTCGTGAAATATGCATATGTTATTGTGGAAAAGCGTCAGCTGCACATCTTCGTATTGATTCTGTTACAACTGTTGGGAGATGGCTCAGCTATGTGCAGTGGTTCGTTTTGGTCTCCTTAGTCCGAAGTTTTTAATTTTGAAATTGAAATATATTCTTTATGATGACAATGGTTTTTTTCTCTTCTAGTTCTTAACTTTAACTTTATCCTTACGTCAGTTGCGCTGAGTAATTCGATTACATATCTCTGTGAAACAATTCATTTAATGTTATTTACTATTAGAGCTTTCATTAGTTATCCTCTATGTCTTCCATGTAATTTTTCAACTTTTATAGTAATCAAGCACAGCCTCTTCATTGCGACTTTCATCCACACTCCTTAGTTAATTCTACGATCATATAAGCTTGGTTGTTGTTCCTAATTTCTACTTCTGTATATAAACAAGCAAATGAGATATAGTCATATACACTTCTTGATAAAGAATTCAATATTTACATAAAGGGAATTTCTTAAGCTTTGCTACACATGAAAGAAACTGCTCGCTGCGTTTCACTTTGCTTTCTATTCTAATCCATTGTTCGTCATTCCTCCCTTTCCCAAGTACGGCTGTGCGGGATTAAGCAATCTATTTACTCCGTTTTTCCTAACGCATAATCGTTTCTGAACCACTTGCCTTTAAAAGTTACGATGAAATATCAATTTACAGTTGTTACAGATGACGCTGAGTATATCGGGAACTTCCTAATGGCGTTGAAGTTATATTTCCTCATCTTTACCTTTTTATTTTACTCCGTAACCGCTAATGAGGATGCAAAACGTTTATACGATGACTTGATGGTGAATTATAACCGCCATAGAAGGTAGCTGTTTATTAATTATGGAAACAAGCTCATATTTCAATTCGTTAAGACCAGCCAATAGCCCTCATGAGCCGGTAACCATAAAACTAAAGCTGCGACTGAGTCAGATTATTGATGTCGTGAGTTGTTGAGATTTCTTATGATTCAATTCGAATTTATACTTAAGCATGAGATCGATCAGATTATGACATGCTCTGTTTGGTTGAAGCAAGTGTGGATGGATAAGAAGCTCTCATGGAATCCAAAGAACTACGGAGGTGTCAGTGTGCTCTATGTGCCGTATGAAATGATCTGGGTCCCAGATATAGTTTTATATAATAAGTATGTTTTTTATCCCTATTTATTATGCATTTTCATTACTTAAGCGCGGATAGTAACTACAATATAACCATTTCCACAAAAGCCACTTTGCATTACTCGGGACAAGTAACTTGGGAACCTCCTGCCATCTTCAAAAGCATGTGTCAAATAGATGTTCGATGGTGAATTCAGTTTCCGTTACGATCAAATGCTTTTATTAGATTTCGAATCTCGTTTCAAAGTTTTGCATTTATCAGAAAAAATTTTAGCCGCAAAAATTGGCTCATTCTGTTCTCTAGAGAATTGCTTCAATTTGTTTTGTCTTTCAAAATGGTTTTTTTTAGGTTCCCCTTCGATGAACAGCAGTGTCATTTAAAAGTGAGAATTATTAAAGCTAAATTCATGATAAACATCATTTTCAGTTTGGATCATGGACTTATTCAGAAAATTTATTGAATTTGGAACTGTTAGAGAACAATGTGCGCTACATTGAGGAAACGGATGCCAATGGAATCACGGATAATATAACAATCGCTGATGAAGGAATTGGTTCGTGTCCCGATACTGATAGAATTAAAAGACAAATTTATAATTTTATAGATCTCTCCGATTACTACCCTTCTGTAGAATGGGACATTATGTCACGTGTAGCTCGCAGACGTTCAAAAAATTATCCTAGCTGTTGCCCACAGAGTGCGTATATAGATATTATGGTGAGTGTTTAGAGAAAAAAACTTTAAGAATATAGAACGATTCTAGTATTACCTGGAATTACGGAGAAAGCCTCTGTTTTATACGGTCAACTTGGTCTTTCCATGTGTGGGAATCTCATTTTTAACCATTCTTGTTTTCTATTTACCTTCGGACTCTGGCGAAAAAGTTACTCTCTGTATTTCGATTCTTGTAGCTCTCACTATCTTCTTTCTTCTTTTAGTAAGTTTACGGCGTTCATAAGTTCATTAGAAAGAGTTCAGACTGAAATCATACCAGCGACTTCTATCACATTACCTTTAATTGGAAAATATTTACTGTTTACTATGGTCATGGTAACTTTAAGTGTGGTCGTTACCGTCATAGGTCGGTCAAAACGAATACTAAACAATAACTGGCTTATTTTTAGCTTTGAATCTTCACTTCCGAACTCCGACCACTCACCTCATGCCAAAATGGGTGAAGTTGGTGTTTTTGAAATGGCTACCAAAAATTCTTTTCATGAGACGTCCGCTGGATGATTCTGAAGAATCATTCCGCAGAGTCAGTTCACGGCGTACAGGCGTAGGTATGTTGAGCAGTAATTAAAAAAACTAAGAAATATATTCGAGGCCCTACAACTTTAGATGGCAAAATACCTCTGAATTACCATGAACATAGAGTGAGTCGAGATGTCGGGAAAAACTTGGCCAACGCTGCTATAGATGATCGGATTCAGAAACTTTACTACTCCCCACAGGTTCCTCCGTTGGAAGAAATACTCCCAATGTTTCTGATTTCAGGTAGTGAAAGCTTTTGAGAACATATGTTTCATAGCTGAGTTACTCAAAAAGAAAGATAGAGACGACAAGGTATATATTAAACGTTTTTAAACATAAAATATCTCTTTCTAGATTGATGAAGATTGGAAATATGTTGCGATGGTTTTGGACCGACTGTTTCTTCTCATATTCTCATTAGCTTGCTTCATTGGAACGGTTGTAATCTTATTACAGGCTCCTACACTTTATGATGATCGGAAACCTATCGACCTACAGTACAGACCGGCCAACTTAACATCTCCACAAACAATATCATAAATGAATAATACTGTGTATTTGAAAACCAATAATAAACATACAATTTTTACTTACAATGCATTTCAATCTTATTCAGACGTGAAATCTATATGCAACTAATTAGCATAATCAGGAAAATCGATATTTTTAAATGAACAGTATTGTTTTGAAAAAAACCATTGTTTACGTTTTGAAGTTTATAAGCGGTTGCGCTCACTGCTACTCAAATACTTCTTTTATTTCATAATCTTAAAGTGACTCCACCATGCATCTGAAATATAATAATACTCGTTTTCTAATAATTGTTAGCCACAAAAAGCAGCTGATTCAAATTATAATCTTAAGGCTGTGGTTTTTCTTCCTTCATTTATATAGGGCACATGATGAAGAGAAAATGTGCTCTATGGCAAATCTGTTTTTTGTCTGTACTCTCTTATTTTCCCATACTTAAATATAATTGTTTCCGAATTCAAGAAAAAAATTAGCTTGTATGTAACTATGTCAGAACAAACCCAATTCGAATAGTTGGTTTTCATTGAATTATTTTCATTACAGTGTAACACAATGGGTAATGCTGTTTCCGCAGCAAATCCAACAGAAATTCTTCCGGTGGAATACTATTTGACGGATTTAGGCATTACTTCAGAAAGGTTTGATAGCGATATCGAATACTCAATTAGTTTATAAATTTTAGTTTGGGCAGTACACGCTTTATGAAAGTAGCTCGAGGAAGGTCTTCTTCGGCAGGAATACGTGTTTACAAAGTTTATCTAACACCAGTAATTTTGATTGTACATTGACCAGAATTACATCTTCTTACAGGATGGAAAGAATATAAACGAGAGCTTGATTACATTCGGAGACGAAATAATTAGAATAAAGACCGCGTTGAGCAAAGCACCAAATTGTTCACCTTTTCGAAATATTTATGTAAGTTGATCTATTTCTTGGTTTCTCAAATAGTTTCCATTCAGCAAAAGCCAAAGGCAGTTGTTTTGGAACGACTATACCAAAAGTATACATTAACGGACCGTTTGAGTACTCGGCCTTTCATAAACTCTGAAGAAAGACTATGGTAGAAAAACTTGTAAAGCATTTTCATCAATCTTTTTTTAAAGGTATATTTTCCAAATATTCAAAGGCCTGCATCAATGTTCTGTTGCGAATGTTTGTCATGGTGATATTAAATCTCAGAATATAGCATTGTCGTCTATAAATTGGTTGCAGCTCACAGACTTCGCTTCTTTCAAACCAACGTTCTTACCAAATGTATGGAAATTAAGCTAACTTTCAAAGTATTTTGTTTTACAGGACAATCCATCTCATTTTACTTTTTTTTTCGACACAAGTGGAAAAGAAGTGTGCAACTTGGCTCCCGAACGCTTTCTTTCATCAACCCTATTTGATAAGAAAGCCAAAGAACTTGGAGATAAATGGATGTTCGGTATTTTTCTTTGCTTTCTACTGTACTTAACTTGTTTTTTGAAGGAACTTTAAATCATGCTATGGATATATTTTCCGCTGGTTGTGTTGTATATGAAATGCTCAATGAAGGAAGGTCTCCGTTTAATTATAGGCAACTTTGCGAGTTTTCTCGAATGAATCATTGTGACGCTGGAGTTTATCTAGATAAGTTTTCCAGAGTTTCGGTGTACAATTTTAATGAAACTGTTTAAGACTGTTAGCTAACACCTCTTCTCAGTTCCGCCCGCTTCTAAAAATGCTGCTTAATCAAGAACCTACGATGAGGATGACTGCTAAAGAAGTGGTAGGTGCTTAATCGTCATTAAAATTTATATTGTTTTTCATTCAGCTTGAAGGAACGGCTTTGCAGTTCCCATCTATTCTGGAATCCATATTCAATTATTTGAACGCTTTTCGACCTCGTGAAAATGTACAATCTCAATCAATTGTTGAGCTTATCCCGTCTTCAACCAATGATTTTTTTGAGCCTGATGACGTTATATCCAAGTATGTAGTAGGAATTTTTATAGATTGCTTATGGTATGCCTTCAGGTTGAAACGAGACGAAGACATGATTTGCGCAAAGTTAGAAGATTGCGCTGAAACAAGGCCTTTTGCCGTGTTGTATATAACTTTGATAACAAGTAACTTAAGATCTTTACGTTATTCACAATCGAAAGTTGTAAGTTTTACGTTCGGGTATACAATTTATCTAGAAGTTTAGAATGCGATGAACTTACTTCTGAGATTAGCACCACTATGTGAGACGTCGGTTAGTACGTTCCGCATTCTGCCCTACTTTGTAAGTTTCTTGATTTCGAATGGTTAGGCTTTTCTAATTTTTTCAGGTATTTTTTTTGAATGATGAAAATGAGTCTATACGTGCGTTTGCGATTCATTCCATCGTGGACTTGATAGAGCCTTTAGAACCTTCTTGTTTTGAAGACTCTCTGATTTTTATCGACTATCTCCTACCAGAATTTGTAAGCATTGTGTTCCAAAACTTTAGATTCTCATTATTTGCAGACTTCTCTGTTCGAAAAACGCCGTTTCTCTAACACGTCTTGCCTTCTAGCTCTAGCAGGGAATCTCGGTGTTATTGCTCAGAAAGCCTACAAGTAACTAACTATTGTTTTCGCTAAATATTTCTTCTTAGGTTTTTGATAACAGGAAGAAGTTTGAGAAACGAAACAGACGACGAATGCTCGGGTATCGAAAGTTTAGGTTAGCGGATGCTTCATATTTTGGTTCATGGTTTCCCGGTTCAGATAGTGAACAGTGTGATAAAGAACGGGAAGCACTTTTCAAATCTATTGAGGATTTGTTCGTTTCTCTGAGCGGAGAAGAGAACTGTAAAACAGTTAGACAAGCTCTAATTCAGCAGCACAACCTAGCCGCTCTTACCGATTTCTTCTCCAAGAATTCACGTATGGAATTTTTTTGTTTTTACGACTAGTGAGTTTTGTTGTTTATTACAGAGGGTGATTTGCCTTACCAGCACATGATCACATTTTTGAATTCGAAGTGCAATTGGAGATTACGAGCAGCGTTTTTCGAGTCTCTCCCTATCAGCCTTCAGAAATCTAGCGTAGTACAACCTCTGCTGTATCAGGTAGTTCTGTTCATTATTTGATGAGGTTACAATCGTTTTAGGGCATGCATGATTATGAAGAACTTGTAATAATTAGGGTTCTTTATTGCGTGACGCTCCTATGTTCTGCTGAAATGTTGGATAGAAATTCGGTTACTGAGATACTGCAATGTGCTTCTTCATTTTTGGCTCATCCAGTTTGTTATTCTTTTTTTGAAAATTATTTATGAAAGTATTGCAGAATGATTGGATCAGGTTCCAAGTTATCAACCTCTTGGTGTTATTGGATTCTAGATGGTCACTTGCCGATAACTATTGCAAAGTTTTATCTTGCGTGCGAGACCATTTTGAAGGTAAAGGTTTGATGAGGTTCAACCATAAAGTATAGCCCTTTTCCTAATGATTATCAATATACTTGTTCGAGGTTGTTGCTTTCAACAGCTTGAAGCCAGGCATATCGAGGGAGCATTGGAATGCTGTTCTAACTAATTTGAAAAACCCGGAAGTTGCTGAGTTCATGAGGCGTATAGGTTGTAAATCTTTTCTATGTAAAAATATGGTTTTATTTGCAGATGATGCTCTTGTGAAAAGCATACCTTTGACGTGGACAGCAAGCTGGTTCGCCAAAAACTTCGATGAAACACAGAAAAAAAATTTCGAGCTTCTACGATGTTTCCGAAAATTTGATTTGAACAAATTAATCGACTCGAGAAAACCGTAGGTTAATATCTTGTTCGTTAACATTTGTTTCTTAAATAAGTGATGGCATGGAAGCACATCTAACCATGCACCGGGGAGTGGTAGATCTTTCGTCTTCAATTTATTCTCATGTCTCTCGAAATCGTTATCAGCTTGGAAAAAAGGTTAGCTTCCAAACGAAGAATGGGTAAGTATTGTATACTGTTGTTCAGGATGGCTCTACCCCATACGAAGAATCTTTCTTTGGACTTCAGTGTAAGTTATCGGATGATTTTAACAAATTGAGTCTGTTCAGATCGTAACTCTTTATGTAGCAGTCAACTACAAGAACTGCTAGAATACAAGCAGTTGCTTTACGCTGTAGCTGGAGGAACTAAAAATCATCAGTAACTTCAACTTTTAATTTTTCTCAACAAAATAAATTTTCTAGATCTGAACCAAAGGAACAGAAAGAGAGCAGGGATGTATCTTCAATATCTAGTACGGGGACGAATCCCATCACGCTAATAACTCATCTCCATGAACATTCTGATTCTGTCACCCAGTGCGTTGCTTTGTTCCCAACTATATTATAATTATATATCCTTCAGGCTTTCGTTCTATAAACCAAGTTCACTGTTTGCAAGTGGATCTCGTGATGGTACAGTAAAAATTTGGTCGGTAAAAACAGTGATAGGAGAGAGTTACGATGCCATAACTAGTCAAAATACTTATCATGTACCTCTGGAAAGATCTCAACAGCGAAACGGCACCAGTAACAACGAAAACGGTTTTGAGACAATTTTAATATTTAGATATTTCTGTCGACGGACTAGGATGGACAGCGAAAGGCGAATTAGGATATTTCACATCGGATGGTTCATTTGTTTGGGCTGACGTATCCCGTGGTGTCCGGGAAGTATCCAAAGTAATATATTTTTGCTGATTTTTTCTTTATATATCCGACTCAGGTTACTTTTCCTGAAAGCGATGGTCCAGCTAAACAAATGCACGTTGATGGAAATTTAATTTTTGTTCGAACTCACCATAATATTCTCTACTGCTTGGACAGCAGGTACTGCTAATTAATTCCCGCAAATCAACTTTTGAGTATTAAAGGGTTTCTGAATCTAATGGACCTCTTGGTAAGCACGAGGCCTGGCGGAGAGACATAAGTAAAAATCACGGCTTAGTATGAACATCTCATTTTTACATCGCTATCTTTTCGTTCAGATCACCTCGTTCTGCATTGACCCCTGGCAAGCTAATTGGATTTGTATGGCTTGTACTACGTATCAGCTAATGCTATGGGATGTTCGGTATATATTTGAGTTTTATTTTCATTGTTGCTTAACAAAAACTCTTCAGTTTTCAAATGGAAGTTAATTCTCGGTGTGCTAGCAAAGATAACAACCTTCCATTGAAAATATGGAGTAATGTACGATCGCCTTATCAAGCTCCAGAGGTAACTAATTCACAGTTAAAAATGGAATTCGGCCATCTTAGGTGTTTGTTCAATTCCAATACTATGGAAACATAAGTATTTTTGACCTTAGTCAGCCCACCTCTAATGTTTCACGTGTGCTGTGGCCATCAACTTCGCAACCACTTGGAAAACATCATAGTAATGGTAACAAATCCTCAGGAAATAGCCAGTGGAGCACAACAGCTATCCTTGAGGACATGAGGAACATTACAGATGCTTTAACAGTTTGCGAAAAAACTGGGGCTGTTTTCACCGGAGATACACAAGGTTTTTTCGCCCCGTCATCCTATCTGTATATCGTCTTTAGGTGCTCTACGCAGATGGTATCCTAATTCTGTGGATTGTCTCTATCTGAATGGACCGAGATTTATTCAAGGTTTTGTTGTACGTTAATATGAAAAAATAACTTCGTTCCAGAACGGTCTCCCTACCGCACTACGTTCAGGGAGATCGGAGAAAATCCGGCTGTGATACATGAAGTTAAAGTACCTAACCAAGCTAACACTGAACGACATATCCCGCCTATAGAATACAAGGTTGTTATCTCACTAGGCTCACTCAAACTGCTTGAGTTTTACAGGCTGCAAACTGTCATAGAACACCTATAACAGACATAATGGTGGTTGAAAACGACTACTTAGTATCTTCGTCTTCGGAAGGAATAATCAAAGTGTGGAAATGATTCAAATGTATTAAATTGTAAATATTGTATATTTTATGTTACTAGTCAAATAATTGTTACGGTTAACTAAGTTAAATTCTCGCCCTACAACACTGGATTGGAAATACGGCTAGGCAGGCTCTCAGAACGGTTGCTCATTGTATAAAACTTGAAAATTCTTCCTTAAACTGTATTGATGTATTACTTGTTGTTCTCTCTAGATGGAATACCTTCTCTTGTTTGAGCAGTGTTTGAATCGTTTTTTAGGAATGGAGTTGCACGTTTGGCCTGCGGATTTTGGTCTTCCTTCTATTGACGTTAACTGTCTACAGTTTTTGGTTAGTGTGTTAAAGTGATTGTTTATTTTTTCTTCTAAAGTCTTGCTCGAAAATGTGTGCAAGTCCAATAACAATTGTACCAGCCTCAGCTCCATGGAACTCTCCAAATGGTAATAATGAAGCTATTGTGCCATACAGATATCGTTTCCAGGCGAGTACCCTGTGCTCTTTGACAAAACCAACCCTGGAACTAAAGCAGTTACGGATTTTGACAACTTTGTTGAGGTTCTACGACGAAGCGATCAAGAAGTGGTGATAGACGGAGATTTAACCGCATCTGAGCGTTCAAAAATCGATGCTTTCAGCTGTTATCTTCAACAGCATTTATATCCTGCCGTGGTTTGGAACTGTTCGAAAATTCGAAGAATATTCATTTTTTTCAAATTTTAGATTCATTCCTTATGGGTCGACGAGTTGAATTACACTACTGTCACACAGTACTGGTATAATACCAAACTCCCTTTCCCATATAATATGTATTATTTGGAAAAAAGAAGAAAAAAAGCTGTTAGATTTTTATCAGATAAAAATGTAAACCAGGTAGTGAAAAACGCTTTACAGGTAAATTATAATAGTATATCTTACGATTTCTGATCTTAAATGTAGGCCTTAAACTCTTTGTCGGTCAAATTAGGTGATAACAAGTTCATGTGTGGCAATAAGTAAGCACAGCAGTTTGATATTACTCTTAATTTTTTCTATAGACCGAGTTCTTTGGATGCGTTAGTTTTCGGTTATTTAGCACCATTGTTGCGTCTGCCATTGCCAAATGACAAACTGCAAGTCCATCTGTCCGCATGCCCTAACCTTGTATGTTTTAAAATAAATGCATTCGAGAACAAGTAAATATAGGTTAGATTTGTGGAGTCTATTACATCAATATATCTTCCACTTACTGATGATCAATTGAAACAACAACGATCTGAAGCTAAGCTATGGAAAAGTCGATTGCAGAAAGCCGAAAAAACTAAAGAAGCCGAAAAGGTTCTCATACTTTTAACTGAGTTTCATTCCTTGTCCTATAGGCTAAAACTGCGGAAGAGGAGCAGACTGTAGAAGATATGCCTGTTCGAGACTCAATTTTATTTGGATTGGTTGCAGTGACTTTGTCAGTAATATTCGCAATTCATTCGGGAATGATTCAAGTAACTCATACACTCGAGTTATTTTACACAATCTTTTAGGTTGTTGTGGAAGATGATGAACCAGCTTTAGAAGAAACCTCATGATTTTAAAATCATATAGTATTAGATAGTTAGGAGAAGGTATCGAAATCGAGACGTTGTTTTTAATCATTTCCTCTGGTCTAAGTAAAGCCTTTTGCTTGATTGTTCGATTCCTTAAAATTCGAATGCAGACATTTCACAGAAGAGAGAGAGACATTCTAGTCATCACAGTCAAGCCCCGCCCCTTGGTTTCGGACACTAACCATCCCATAGTTCTTCCTTTCGAATCTACGACAGGTCTTAGACCTGATGGCGAATTTTGCCTCAGGATTCCTCAGATGGTATTCAAGATTATTGTATAATTATCCATTGGCTTTTATCATTGTGTCTGTTATTCTAACAGGAGTATTACCTTTGATTTGTCTTTATTTTTGGCCTGTGCATCTAACAAATAACGCCGAAATTGTAAGTTATAAGAAATACTTTATTCTAATTTATGTATTATCGATACGGTTGAATTTTTGATCCGCATTGACATAACTTTTGAAAGTTCATTGTATAATTGCGTACATGTTCTTCCAGGGAATTACTTCCCCTAAAGTGACTAATGCTGTAGTCACAGACAGAACCTGTTCGTTTTCGTAAAGTTTCTTATGCGTTTTGCTTCATGGAAAACCGAGATTCTCGTTCCTTTTCCTAATGTTCATCAGTGTTCCCACCTCATTAATGTAATTTGAGGCTCAAAATATGGAGAGAAAAATAGCTCAATCGTATTACATACTTCGAAAAGAGGAATGTATACCTTACCAACTTACCCCTCAGTTCGCAATAAAGAGAGGAAATAGTTGGTTGATCATATGGGTCACGTCCGGATAATGACCGGATCGTATGCTAACAGATCGGAGGATTGAAAATTATTGCTTTTAATAAAGTACCAAGAACTTGTAGGATGCGAAAGCCATAGTAATATATGAAACTATAACCGTAATGTTAGTCATAGTATGTGTGAGTTTTGAGGGTTTTCTTTTTTATAAGAAAGTTCTGTAAGAAGTCACCTTCAAATTTAAAAACCTGTTTGTCTAGATGGGAAGATAAATTTCCTATATTTCATAAGTGTTCAATTTGTTTAGAGTGATCTGTTCATCCAATATTTTGGTGTTCATTATCTTTCAATCAATATCTTTGATTCCAGGGATTTGATACGAAGGACACCGATTATTCAGGGCCTAGATTAGCCTGGCAACAACTGCAGCAACATTTAACGTCCTCTAACCGTATACCGTTTGCTAATTCGGGAGAAAAGGATCCAAATGTTCCTCCGGTTTTGAGTCCTGCGAGTAATAAAACAACAAGAAGAAGAATAGCTAGAGGATGGGCTGATGATCTCTTATTCGCGGTTCAAAATGTTCCATGTTACGATGCACCAATACCCTTAAGTACGTTGAAATCAGTGTTATCTCACAGATGTTGATGTTTTCAGTGAATCATCTGAGTCAAATCGTAGTAGAAGTTCCAAGTTTTGATTCGATTTTTGAAAAGTCATTCCTATCGGATCTATGCTATTTGCATGCGAATGCATCTAGTGAAATTACTGCTTTTGATGGATACACTCCTTATAGAAATGTTTGGAGTGTTGCCAATATGTTCGCATGTCTCTCTCCCAACTTTCTCGTCAATTGTACTGAATTAACAGTAGAAGATATTAATATTGTTCGAGATACCGTGAAGTTTTGTGCTGGATATCGAGATCAGCTAGTATCGTGTAAAGTTGAATGTTCAGAAGCATGTACTGAGTGTCCAGGTTAGTATGTTGCATTTTCTTTTTCAATTTCCCATATCTATAGGAGTTCCGAAAAATTGTACAAACCAGATGATGTTTGACGTATTTTATCGAATCTTACCTCAAGATTTATCATCAAAACCATTTCTTGTGAACACATTCCTCCCTGTTTTCACATTGACCGGTTAGTGATTTGAACTTCTTTTCACGTTTGGTTTCTTTATATGCAGTTTTATTGATTCAGGTTATGCAACTCAGAATATTCGTGTGCCTGTTGATTTATACGATGGTTTAGAAAATGCAATAATATCTTATACGTCGCGTACATCATTGAAACTTAAAGGTTCGTGAATCTTTGCGTGAAGCTAACGAACTAGCTGGCACAGTGAGGGTAGTTCTTTTGAAATTATTCAAATAAGCAAATAGTCTCGGCGTGAATTCGCGAACACAGCGGATAGCTATGGGATATTAAAGTCCAAACTGGTTTTATGCATGATGACCAATGCAAGTGGAAGAAGACGCATCATCTCCGGCTTTTATGAATTCACCTGGCCAATGTTCTTCCTACGTAGCTTCGTTTTCACAGTTCAAATGCTGGTATTTCAAGAACGACTTTGAATGAGAAGTGGAACTTCAATTATTTTCGATAGTGTGGGAACATAAAAAGCTCAACGTGTGATAGAAATGTCATTGTCATACAAACTAAGATTATGTGCTAAGAATAATACAGCTAGTAAAAAATGTAAGGAGGTTTCTACATCGAAGTATTTCTTCAAAGCTATTTCGCGTTTTATCTGAAATGTTGGGATCAATGTCAAGGGCACATCGTAGATGGAGTTCTTGAAATATGTATGTGAATTGCGGGTTAAAAAAGAAATTTAACTTTCTGGGAACTCAGTCTTTGAAGTAACGGATATATTTCAGGAATTTTGATGGATATCAAGCGAGAACGACTTTTAAAGTCAGCTATGACCGATTCAATCTTGGCTCTAGTAGCGGCAACACTTACTATGTTAGTTGTAGCATTACACTCGAGATCCATTTTATATGCTCTTGCTGTGTTCGTAATCCTGGGACTCTCCGTAACAGGTTAGTTACAAATGCAGTAAGTTTTCAACTCATCACTTAAGGAGCGCTAGCTGTCTATGCTCAGTTTACATCAGACTTCCCATTGCTGAATTTGGTTATTTTTGTTCTATTAATTGCTGTCGGGACCGATGATGCTTTTCTACTGTTTAGCTCTTTTCCTGAAAACCTTAACGAACATACTTTCTATACAGTAAGAGTGAGAACCAACAACAATGTACATTGTTCGTTTCAGTGCCTCTCTCACACAGGAGCAACTATGTTCTTAACTTCATTCTCAACAGTGGTTCCGTTCTTCCTTAATATGCATTCCAATGTTATAGTTTTTCGGTAATGAACTTAGTCCGGATGAATCTGAATTAGTTTGCTTCAGATGTTTTGGACTGTTTGCTGGAATGACTACAGTGGTTAATTGGTTTTTAGTCGTATCTTTTCTTCCAGCGTTTTTATTGCTTCAAAGAAGGTTTTTGTTTCAAATCGTTACTTTCAAGTTTTTCTAAACCTTAGGTGGTGTAAATGTTTACCATCCTTGCCAAAACTTGATAATTGGTTTTCGTTTTCTTTCCGTAACGTTCTCCCTTCCGTTATCTTACAGGTATGTTTCTTGATTACCCTATCCCAACACTTCTCAATATCAATCAGCCTTCAGTTTCACGTGAAACGAAAGTGAAGAATTATTTTCATCCTTCATTGTTAGATGCTTCGAGGGGCTCTTCTCGTTTTTTTCTTGTCATCAAAAGTTCAATTTAACTCTCCTGAAAATAATCATTTCCAGGGTAGATTTGTTTGGTTGGCATCACTTTCTTTGGTGGTAATAGGAGGGTGCTTCATTACATACAATGACTTCCATTTACCAGAATACAACCCACTACAGTTATTTGTCTCCTCTAATCTCCATGAGTGGTACAGTTTCTTATCAATTAACTACTTTATCCCGGATCTCCTCAGGTACGACAATAATGCCGAGAAGAACTTCGAATTTGTTGCAAGCAAAATAGCTTTACCTCTGTTTGCCAGAGTACTGTATGGCATTCAAAAAGGAGAATCTACAGCCAGGTTTAAAGCTGAGTCGTTCACTCCTCTCAGGTAGTATAAATGATCGATTTGAAAATAATATCTTGCTACAGATATGATCCTGGTTTTCATCTGGATACAGTACCTGCAATCGAAAAATTAGCGAACGATTTGAAAGTTGCCAGAAATTTACCGTATATAAACCATACATCCAAGTTTTGGCCAGAAAGGTTTTTAGACTGGAGTCGCGATTATAAATGCCAAGCAGGGTATGTTCCAACGATAATTTATAAACACATCTGATGCATTTAGGTTCTTATGCTGTAACATGAGCAGTCCTCTATTCAGTAATATGTACCTAGATCATTGCTTGAGAAATTCGACAGCTTTCTTGTTCACTTCTTACAATGACACACCCATCTTCGATAATACAACTTTCCTTTTAACAGGGTAAGTGCCATACTCCAATATATCAGTTTTTCACTCCACTTTCAGATACACTGCTCTATTACCTACAAAACTCCAGTATTCTCATCGCTTCTCTAAGTTATACAAGGCGTTTGATCTTTTATCCAATACAGCGAAGGGACCAGGGTTCTGGGCTCCTGAATGGCCACTTATGTCTACCTGGTATGTTTCCGCTGTCTCGGGTTATGACTATCTGTTTTATAGGTTTGACCTCCAGCGTTCAATTATTTCGGATTGTCGATATTCTGTCATAATTTCCATTTCTGTTGTAGCATTGTTCGCATTAGCGCAACTTCATCTTCAAGTAGGTTTATGAACCTATTATCTTATTGCTTTTGGTTAAGGCGTTACCTGCTGTGCTAACATGCATTTGTATAATATGCACATCTGTTGGAGTTGTTACTACACTGGGTTGGGTGTTGGGAGTTCTGGAAGCTGTGATTTTAGTTTTGGTTGTTGGGCTATCCTTCGATTATACGCTTCATTATGGCGCCGCGCTTCCGCATGATGTAAGTTTATTAATTCTGGATTTCGGTACTAAGTTTGATAAAGGGATGTCCGACTCATCGTGTGATGCATGCTGCATCTGTTGCTCTATCACCGGTATCTTTAGCTGCATTCACATCTTTCCTAGCTGGAGCATGTATGCTGTTTGCGCAAACACATGCGTTCTTCCAGGTGCAGTTGCTCGTTCTTATTATTTAGGCAAATATGACTTTTAGGTTGGAACGTTTTTAGTGGTTGTTACCTCAGTGTCATGGATTTATGCTACCTTCTTTTTCTTGCCTCTTTTGAGTTTAACACTTCCTAAAACAAAAAACTGCCACGTTTGCAATTCTCCACCACATATCCCACTTAATAGAAAGTTCTAGTCAAGCATAGATATTGATGTTGCTCAACACAGTCAAGTGTCTACATGTTCATTCACTACGGGTTTCAAATGATTCAATAAATATTTTTATTACTTACAACCTTTCAAAGGCAAGTTCTTATCTTAAATGTTCTTCTGGGATGGCAATAATGAAAAATAATAGATACAACAGCACCTTGACTTGAAGAATACAATTATGACGGCATTTTTCAATTACCCATTCACTTTAGAGAATTTAGCACTGAGATCACAAAGAGGCGAAGAATGAAAAAAACTGTGCCGGAACTATGCCATCATCTTCTTCTTTTTCCTATCTACTTTAATCGTTTCTAATATTCCAGACAAAAGTTCTCTTCCCATCTTCTTAAGCTCCAATATTCCAATCTAACGGAGAAAAACTGCCATCTTGAAAAACAAACTTCAACTTACTTGCAGTCCCTTTAAAGGCCCTGTTTCAAAACCGGAGTAAGTCGATTCCATTGTATATGATCTGGCCACTCCGAATTGTCTCCAAACTGTAACTCTAGCAGACGATTCTTTTGAAGGAACGATTGTGAAACGACAGTTGTCAATAGAAAAGCAGGGAGAAATCTGTAACGATTTAGCTGCTCAGAAAAATGTATGATATGTCGTACCTTGTCTAAAACTTCAGGAAGAGCTACAAACTCGTTCTCATGTTGCATTTTTTTGTCAGTTGACTTATAAGACTGTTCTGGATTGTTACCAAATAGAAAAATACTAGACTTTCGCGAATGTCCATGAAAATCTATAAACATCCAAGGAGTTCTATGGCAAACATCAGTCTAAAAGTATATGTTCTATATGCATTCGTTTTGCCCGAACCAGATATTGAATAATTCCCTTGGAGTGGAAAATCTCTGGGTGTAAAGTGCGATTAGGTTTATCCCAAACTCTGAAAAATGATCTCGTTTGTTGATTTTCCTGAAAAACCAGAGAAATACCTATTGAGATCCACTCCTGCCAAAGAACATCTGTGACTGCCATTTATTACACCATCAGGATTGAGCATGGGGATCAGTTTGAAAACAAACTTGCTCAGTAGGCTATCAACAGTTTCACTTCTATTACACAGAAGCTCATTGAAAAGCCCTTGAAAAAATGTAATATATAAGTTACTCGAGAGATACTGACCATGCATAATCCAACTAGAATTACTTTCACCCGGGTGAACTCGAGCGGAAATCACGATAACTTTTCGAGTTGCCACTTCTTGCTTTGTGCCAGCAGCAGTTGCAGTGAGCATGACTATAGGGTTTCCACCGAGAGAATGACCAATAATATCTTTACGGAAATGCACTGAAGGATTCAAAACCGCATAGCATCGATCAATACTGGTCTATAACGAGAAGATCTTGAACTATAAGAAAAATGACAAACCATCATGAATGAGAACGTATATGGATAATGATAAGCGAAATAACACACGTCACCTTTAGATTTGAACGTAACATCAAACCGGATAGAGAAATAACTTCTAAGAGAGACATGTAAACTCAAGCGTCAAAGAAGTCAAAAACCTTTTCCCATTTTTCTCTCCATCAGCATCAAATGTATCATCAGTAAATAAATTGCGATAATAACAAACAGAATCACCGACTCTTAACCAGCGGGGATTGCCAGACACAGCATCACGAACACTGTACATCACTGGCTGCATACCTTAAGCAGAAAAATAAATTGAATGGAATGAAAAATGTTGAAAAAAACCATGTGAGTACATAGAAGTTGATTTCAAGCAGTTGATAATCTCGAATGTGTAGGGGACATTAGCTCGCATGTTCGAAACCTCGAAGTAAAACCATTGATAATGATCATTTATCTGATTGATATCCGGATTCAGAATGAGTTGGTAATGCTGAGTTGAAACCTAAAATGCGTCTTTCTCAAATACTTATCATAATCATCGATTAAACCTGAGTAACTCGTCTAAGGTTGCCGCATTCGAAACGGCTTTCAAAAAGCAAATGGTCCTTGCTCACATTCATTTTCCCTAACCTAGAAATTTTTGCTATGAAACTGAAGAATCAGTCTAGAGGGAACCTGGAAGCATCATCACAACTTAGAACAGTCATTGGGGGAGAAGATTTCAAAGGCGAATTCATGCAGAGCTCGTCGAAATCGTAAACGGTACGTGGGACGAACTTTACATTCTTCTTGGAATAACTCATTTGTTGCAATACTGCCTCTCTATAAACACCTTCTTCAATGATTACATTATGGAGTCTCACCTGAATCCATCATGACTTACAAGCAGAGGTTGTTGAGGCTGTTCTCGATCTGAATCCTTCAAATCGGGATAAGCTATTTTCACAAAAGGTACAACAGATGCAGTTTTCTGAACCAAGATATAGCATTGGATAGGCTGACTGAGAAAATACCATCACATGGTTTTTGAAATGCGTAGAATAGCCTTCGAAATCCTTTAAAGGTGTTGGAAGGGAATCTTCCGTGAATTCCGAAAAAAAAGGATCATAGGCTGATAGATCTGAGAACTTCTGCTTAGCCAATGACAAAGCTGAGTCCTAGAAAATATAACTGATTGAAGCTTAACCTTTGGAATCTACTTTCATTTGCTGTAGAGTATATTAGTGAAATTAAAAAGATAGAAAATAACGAATACGAACAGATCTCTTCAGACGTTTCCAAATTTTACGTTTTGACTGGACATTGAAATGAGAATACCACCGCATGTATGAATTTCGAAGGAAAAATTAAAAGTGGAAAGTTCAGGAAAGCGTGAAAAGAAATCAATGATCATGAAGTGAAGTCATTGCCATAGTTGGCCGTTACGTTTTCATTTTTCGAAAAAAATGAGTTGGAGATAATTATCAGGTAGGTTTCGGGTACAACTGTTTTTCAGACTGATGTTAACCAAAGCAAATCAAAGAACAAAGAACACTTATTGATGTTGAGAAGAGGAATTTGTTATCGAAAATAAACAATATTCTCACCTTCTCAAAGTCCGCGTTCAGCATTTCACCATCACGACTGTTCTCGTTCTCTGTGAACACATCTTCATCATCTTCAAAACGATCATCTTCTAAACAACAACAATACGTTGAAGGATATGATGGTTTCGAGGTTAGTGTACCACTTATCAGACTTTCATCTTGGTTTTCTGTGAAGGAGTTTCTGGCCTTATGCAATGACCCTTTTTTAGTAGGTGAAGTAGCTTTACTGCTGCAAAGGAACTCTTTTCTACAATTAGTTTTATGAACAAACCTTGGACCTATTGTTGTGGGTAACTCCAGACTTAGCGGAAACGGAATTCCGCTCAGAGGAAAACGAGCAGTAGGAAGACAGCTCATATACAATGAACACAAAGAGTCCTAAGAAGTTCAAGCTAAAAAAAGGAAACTAAAAAAAAACACCTGAAGGACTCTTTTCCGTGGGAATTCTTTCATGACGTTACTTTGAAGAGTATCAAATCCTTTCCTGATCATCTCTAAGCATTCCAACTTTACAATCTCATCTTTGGCAGATTCTGGAATTGCCATGTGTCAAACTAATACCAATTAAACAGAAAAAAACACAACACATGACAGCAAAAAAAAACAATGAATCAATTATTTGAGAGACGAGAGTAAAAAACCTACTTATATGGGAGAGTAGATGAACTATATCAATTGCTTTTATAAGAGCATCTAAGCGAACAAAAAGAGATTTGAACTCTGTGCTTCCACGAGAAAGATTTTCCACACTACCAGAGTTGTGTAGGAATGTGAACTGACAGTTTGTTATATTGAGGAAAAGACTAACAATACCTTCCTCTTCTATCAAACGTTGTCGAGTTGGTCCTGAAAACAATTTTTTTGATTTCGAGAAGTGGTGAAGCAATCAAACGAACAACAAAGCAATTCGAGTATACTCAAGCAGTTTCAGTTAAGCAATAAAGAAGCGAATGTTTAACAAAATGACGTTTTGTTTATGTTTCCGAAAGTATAAGAAAGTTATTGAAATTTCAGAGAGGAACCCCTTACAAGTTCGTTTTGACAACTTAAATAAACAACGAAAACGAAACTCACTGTCTCTCAATGTTGAATGGAGAATCTCAAGATGAAGCAAGAAAATTGCTAAAGTTCCTATGTCTGATTGGCCACTAAGAAATACAACACGCTCGAGAAGATCTTTCGCATACGTTTGATAACTTCCACAGATCTCCGCGTTTATCACTAAAATTAAACTTGATATCAGCACTTGGACAATGTTTTACTAGAGAGCAAAGATTTCCTGAAGAGCGACAAAAGGTTAATGGAGAGAAATGGATGAGCTGATGTCATTTTCTGACATAAAAGTAATAGAAGCCCTCCGTCACGGACTCTCGATTGGAAATTGGGATCTGTGATAAGAAAAACAATGTTACAACCGATCAACTGAGAACTTCACCTCTCTCACTCATATGAAGAAGCAAGCTCACGAGTTCATCAACAACGAGATCATTCATGACCAGCATATGACTCGATTTTTTGAAATCATAATCATATTCTTCCGTATGAGTTTTCAGTCTAGATCGTATAGCTTTAATCACACACAATGTAACTTCTGCTCTTCCTAATCTTCTGATCAATCTCGTCCGAACTGTGTAGATCATATAAAAGTAAGATATTATTTGACGAAAAGAAAACCTCGTGGTGTTCCGTGCGTTATTAAACGACAAAGTTTAATCAAAAGCAATGTTGTGTTCTTGTCAGTCGAGTTCTAAAAAGTCCGTTTACCTCTTCGAAAAAAGCGTGCAAACATACCACAAGAGCTTGAAAAACATTTTTTGCTGAATCTTCGCGATCTTTATCTTTCCTTCCAAAGAAACGAGAGAGTAAGGAGAAGTCAAGTGACTCCCCAATACATTCATATCTTCAAAAATTATTTCATAACCATAGCTCAAAGCGTTTTCAACAAACTTCGAAAACAACTCTGACTGTTCGGTAGGACTCCCGTTTATACAAGCATTCACAATTTCCTGCATGGCTTGAAAGATATCATTACATTCCACATCAGCTCTAAGGATTGAGAAAGCTTTTTTGTATTCAAGTTTTCAGTTTACTTTAAATTCGGATTGGAAGTATCCATCTCAGATACATCAGATGATAAAGAAACATCCCGATCAGGCTCGTTACTGGTTTCGAATCTAAAGTAACTCGTTGAGAACACATTCTTATTTCAAAAGTTACTCAATGTTGGTAGGAAGAATCGAATTACTCCTGCTTCCCTGATAAGTAAATAGAGAGTTTTCAGATATCACAAACGGTGTATTTAAAGAGAATAATGTAGTCTGACTGGATGTGCGAACTAATTGATCAGCATGAGATACATTTATTCTATAATGTTTTCTACAAGTTTCTTCAGCAAAATATTTGAAATCGAACTTTTCGAATGAGTACTTTTCATGCAATGGTATCGTCACTTTTGAAGATTTAGATTTACTGAAAGTTCAGCTAGAACTGCCTAATACAAAGAAAATACCTGGGCTTGGGCTTCTTCATCCTACAGGATGGTGGAGAAGCTATTACTAATTTACTAGAATTTGTACTTGGAGAAGGTTTCCGATTAGCAGGAGGAACACTTTGTGTTTTTCTGATATATGAAAAATAGACTTAAACTCTGAGACGAAATATTACTTGTTGGTTTTCGGCTTAGAAGTTGGAGAGCTTGCTTTAGAAGCTTCTCCTGATATTTTGCGTATTCGACTACTTCGCGTCTGAGGCCCAGAGTCATCCTTTTTGATGAAGTTTTTAGTTAGCCTACAACATATATGAGTATCCATGTGATAGAGTATTTCTTACCATATAGAACTACCTCTGAGACTATTTTTTTCAGACTTTCCAACATTTGAAGACATTCTTAAACAGGAGTATGTAAATAGTAAAGGAAAATGAAATCGACTAACTTGTAAACCTCAATATGTACAAACTAAAGTATTTTGCTAGAGGATAAAAAAATTTTATAGTATGAGAGAATCTTTGTCTTATTCCATTCTGAAGAAGGTTTGAACTTAAAAATCGAACCGTACAAGAAAAGGAGAGAAAGAGAGGAAATCAACCCAAGCTAACAATAATGCTAAACAGATATCGTTCAAAAACGTTTATTAAACGCCTATATTTTTCTACAGTCGTATATGCTAGTGAAAATCGAAGTCGGTCCTCTCTAGTTCATGCTTCATTCACAAAGCTCCTCCACTCTGAAAAGATTCTATATAGCTTTCAAAAGAGTTTGACACGCCCAAAAAGCTCAGAAACTCAATGAAGTAACCATGACAACACTTCAGGTAAACCATGAAAGCGTTGCTGGGTAAAACTAAAGCGTCTTTAAAATATTGAAACTTTACATTGATGATATCACATTCTTCCTGACTAATAATTTGGCGACGGAACTTAAGTGGAAGTTGATCTTCGGAAATGCATTGCCCTCTAGGAATTTTGCCTACGGGACCAATAGAGGTTGGCTTAGCGGCTACCAAGGGAGCTCAAAATCAATTAAGTGAGAGCAGAGCAAAACAAGAAAGCAAAATACCTCCTCCTGCTGATCCGCTAATGGGAATAGAAGGCAGAACATCTCTTTAACGTCATACCGTGAGAAGAGATCAATATAGCAAATTCTCACCTGTTAAAATTGGGACGAGGAAGACGAGGTCCCAAGAATTTGATCATTGGAATACGGGCTGCAGCCTAGAGAAACGTGAGTGAGTATAGAAAACTTATACGGAATTCACCTTTTGGATAGGAGATGAAAACATCTTCTGACTTGTAGTCGATTTCGCGCTAGATTGAATCGAGTGAGTTTCAGCAACAGCTGCAAGTTTGGACTTACTTGTGCGAAAACCCAGTAACGCACAAAATTTGGCAAACCAAGTGAGATCGGAACTAGAAAAAAGGGATTATGAGAATATAATATGTAGAAAAACTAGTAGCAACTTAGAAGTTTTGGAAATATTAAAGTATTTGAAAAGGATAGAGGAAAGTTATAGCTTGGTACAACACAACAATGATATTACGTGGTTGATGATCCTATACTACGCGCAGCTAAAAATTGAAACATGATAGAAGAGGATTCCTGAAAAACTATATAGCGTCTTGTGACAAAGAATGTTTTTTATAAGCAACAACAACCCCTTCTAGCTTACACAATCCTAGCCACAATTTTTTTAACGACGTTTCTTTATTCAACGTTTGTATATGGAAACTTTTTATGAAAAGGAGAAGGAAGAGGATCATAAAGAAATAATCACAGCGATTAGAATGAAAGAAACCAATTACCAAGTAAAAGCTACTCAATGCACTGGAAAGAAGCCTAGCTTGACAAGAACTTTGTGCAAGCATCAGTTTAAACATGATATTTTTTATTTTCAACTGCATTCACGACTTGACGCATCCGTCATCTCTTACATTTCAATAAAATGTAAGCATAACTTTGGGTGCTGGAAAAATGACCCATTGACAAAAAAAATGCAACCGTTCCCTAAGCTGGTTACAAATAAAATGAGTTGCGTACGCTTCTAAGCCCGCTAATGTCCAAATATAAACAGCTTTATTTCGATATATTGACTTATGTTATTTTTAATTTATACTCGGTAACTCAACGATTGATTTTAATACTTTCGAAATAATCGAAGTGATCTTCCAATCGCTGCCATTCTTCCGTAGAATAGCTGAAATAAGTTATTATTTGTTGAACTTTAATCATAACAACTTTTTAAAAGTTTCCATTTGCAAATACTTCTTCAATCCTGGCATGTTCCTTAAATCGGATTGAGTAATGGGGCCGATGAATCTGAAGTAAGAGTTCACAAGCTTTTCTATTTGGAAAAGAAAACCCAGGCTGATTACTGTCGAAAAATGAGTCTCGTGGGTCTGCGGATTGGGTTTGACCAATTGCTTTGTTTTTCTTAACTACGGTTTTGAATCTTATTATCTTAACATACCTTATCTTTCTTGTGCATTTTTTCCTTACATTTCTCGAACTTCTCATTCATTATTTGAAGCTGTTAGCCATAGTCTTCGTTGTATAATAAGTCACACATACCTCGTACTTAGTCCGTGGAGAGGTTCGGGGAGTGAAGTATATTAACTCTGTTCGATTTCCATTATTTATTGGGAGTTTTAGGAAAGGTCCGGGTTGTGCGGGCTTGAAGTTTAGAATATTCAAGAGAAACCTCAGCTCTTGCTAAACATCTAGTTTTGAAAACATTTTAGCAAAGGCACTAAATTACACTCTGCGATATGTTCTTCATATTTGGGCTCTCTCTTTCATCGAGGATTTTAGCTGCTCGAGCATGGAACTAAGTTTTGTTAATTAGTGCTCTATCCTTTATGATATTGCTAACCTTCTCCTTTGTCTTCCCGTCTGCGTTTTTAAGACCAATTTTTATTTTGTCTCTTGCTATCATAGAGTTAGCCCAATCTCTTACTATGATTTCCATATGTTTGGCTTTCGGAAGTGAACAAAAAATAAGCCTATTATGAAGTTCTTCGCTAATAACATTCTGAACTTAAAGTATAGATAACTAATGAGCTCAAAAAGACTTCAACGGCTTCTTGAGGTGATAAAGAGTTACTCAGTCTGTGATTGATGTATGAATATGTTAGTCTTCTCTTTATGAAATGCTTCGTCTCTTTGGAAATATAACCAGGATGAGCAGGATGATTAGGTGGCAAATCTTTCGACATTGAATTCGATAGATGAAAAGTTCAAGAATCTCACCTGCTCTGCCTTTGGATCGCGAAATCTCTTTGATTTCCTCTGGTCTCAATAATGTGATAGGAGTATAGCTTGGTACAAGTGAGGGTGGAAGGAAACGCATCAAACATTTCAGAAAGAAATCATAAACCTTGAAAGAGAGAAACTAGAACAAGGTTTAGGCTCGCTCACCTCAGGTGTCGTTATCAAAACCTGCAGGAAGAAAACCAAGTTGTAGATAATGCTTATGACCAGGTATGACCTAGGAAGTTTATCCGAAGGCTTAGAGATTTTGGACATACCCATTCAAATACTTATTCTGGTTGTCAGCATTCAACGTAAATGTTAGGAAGAAAAAGAAAAGTATGATTGGGTTCATAAAAGCGAAAGGAAGGTTTCGGACGACCTATTAAACTTGGCAGGTTATCTTTAATGAAATGGTTTTCATACTTTCTCAATATTATTTTTCCCCATAGGATTCCGATTGTCATAGAAATGATATACATTGAGCAGACCCATGGGAGAATGACTGTAAGCTGATTTTGCAAGGACAGATCGCATAATGTTCTCGTACTTATAAATGTGAACTGCGCATTCAGCAAAGCAAAGAGTTCCAATAACACAAGCCACATTAAGATAAGCGAACGGTAACCATATCGAAGTTCTGTCCTCACTGTAGACTCCAGTGCAAGTCCAAGAAGAAGGTATCTACATGTTTAAGTTTGTAAGATGAAAGTAAAAGAAAACACATTTTCCCAGGACTTGCAGAATATCAGTGAAACACAAGCAGCGCTGAATATAAACGGCATACCTATCCTGATCTTAAAATTGTGTGTCAACTTTTTCGCAAAAAAAAACGTTGTCAAACTCTGTAGGATATCCACCATCGCTTGCGGCCTTTAGAGTCATACTCCCATTCGTTCCGGTTAACTCCTTTCATTGTTGTGCAAAGATTCAGAGCTTCATTCATTGACATTGTTTGAGCTATCGTTGATGTTAATTAAGAATGTTTTCTCTATTTCTTTACCGAGTAGAAAACAGAAGTAAATTATCCAATTGTAGAATCTACATGCGGCTGGGTCAATGGCCATAGTGTGTGGGTGACTGAAGAACGACATCATCATTGTTCCGATAGTAAATGCTACTGCACGGAATCCCATGAAGACTTCTTGAGGATCCTATAAAAACATTGAGGGAGGTCTATCTTCTATCAATTTTTCTACATCTCCCAAGTCGCCTGTCACAATTCTGAACCTTATAAACTTCTGCAGTAGAGAGATACTACTCGCAGCTGAACTAGCTAGAGCTACTGCTGTGGCTGTCGAAAACATCTGTAATAATGTTCAAAGTTCAGGTAAAAGCTGGGAATATCGTACAGATTCTGGCAAGTTCTTCAATATTTCACAACGCTCCCCACCATATCCTTCGTAACAAACACAGACAAACTAAACTGGACTGTGTCTATTCAGTATGATTGAAACTTACTTTATCTATCAAGCTTATGCATTCACCGTGTTCGCAAGCCTCTCCAGAGCAAAACTCAGGTGCTTTCCAGCACGTGAACCTCTGAATTTGAAGGTTGAAATTGTGGTAAGTTTAAAAACAATACAGTCCATCCAGCTTTGCAGTTACAAACGAAGCCTTGTTGTTTGGGTTCACAAGAGTCTGTACCTCCTGAGAAGCACTCAGAACACGATGACCGTACTTCTTGATTATCAGGTAGCTCAACTTCGGTGCTATTAGAGTCATCTGAAAGTTTAGCCGAATCACCTTACAAACGACCAGACATTACCTTTTGGAGTTGTGCATTGCACCAAAGATGAATGGGGTATGATTTGACCGCGATTACCGCAAAATACTGAAACTTTATCAGCACTTGGAGCTTTGCAGTTGATCGTTGTTTCCTGTCCGGGTTTCAATGTGACATTATTTTCCAGTTCCAACTTGTTTATTATCTCAGAGTAGTACAGAGATAAACGGCATGTCGGTTCCGCACAATACTCTAGGAGTAAATAGAACTGTTTTTCGCAATGGAAATAGACTCACTTGGTCTCCGACACAATGCTTTAACATCCGTTTCATCTGTATCTACTGTGATTGTCTTGTTGATTCTTGCTTGGAATCGGGTAACTTCAAGCAAATCTATCACTCTGACGCTTAAAGTATATCTATTGTTATCATCAATGAACCGCGTTGATTCTTACGACTTCTCTTCACGCATTGTCCTGGATCCATACTCATTGATAAAGTATAAACTCGAGTCTTTGTCATCACTGAAACTGCTCCCAATTATGAAGTATCAAACTTGTGTACAAACTCGAGATTTTGGAAGAGCAGAAAGTTGGACATGAAATCAAACTCGTCTGCTAAATCTGCTTGTCGAGTTTGCTGACAGTACGCTAGAGCAAATGAGTATCGTCTTACATTCCTTATTGGAACTGATTTGCATAGAAATTGAGAAGCATTTACAAAAAGTCCTACCTTGAATATAACAGAAGCTCTCACCTTCAAAATAATCGCTTTCACAAGGCAAAACACATTTTTCGGGTAATTCTGAAATTAAGTAGGAACTTGTCACTGATCGTATACTCCCAATGATCCAAGGGAAAATATTATAATTTCGCCTACTTGTTGTTGTCGTAGCAACACTGGTGGGAATGTGTGTTAATGATTTCGTTGTACTCGTGCTTGGTTCCTCGTATTTTGTCGTATTTGCAGTGATGACTTCTTAAGACCGGATATTAAGTCATAATCTCTTCACTGTCTTTCATACCTTCTGTCAAAATTTGCTCTGATGTTGATGTGGTTGTTATCTCATTAAAACTACTAGTTGCAAGACCTGTTGAATGGACTTCCATCATAGTCGTAGATAGTTCTGTATGTTGCGATTCAAGTTGTGTTTCTTGTGTCAGTTGAGTAGATGCAGATATCACAGAAGTGGAGGAAAAACCTTTTTCAGCTACGGTTGTTAATCGTGTGTTTTTCTCTGTATTACTTCTGTATAATGTTGTTTTTTGCGCATTCGAAGTTTCTCCGCTTGATTGTTCTGTATAATGAGTTGTGGAAATGTTTTCAGTCGTGTTTTCGAAGACCGTGGTTCGCTTTGGTTCGACCCTAGTGATATTTTGTTCTGAACTTATTGTTTCTATACTTTTCATCGTGGCACCTGAGGTAGGTGTAGGTGTTTGGGATGGTTTAGAACTCTCTGTTTGAGTTTCAGTGAAGTTATGAAGTGACGATGTACTTGTTTCCACTGATGAATGAACTGCAGGTGTTGAAGTTACTTCTTCTTCAGTTCGCTGCGTTGAAGGTTTTTCCATTGGTTCAGTTTCCGAAACGGAATAGCTTGTAGGTTGCGATGACAATTCACTAGTAACTAGGATTGATGAAGTTGTGCTTCCAATGTGACTATTTGTCTTTTCCAATTCAGTACTTGTGGATAATATTTTGGAACTTGTGGGGAGAGGTGATGTGCCAGTTGTTTGTGTCATTGTTGCTACTGAGGTTGGTTGTATTGACTGAAGTTCTGACGTCGTGTCTGGTGATGTAGTACTTGTGCGTAGAGTAGTTGGAAGTGATGTTTCACTGCTGGTTGAGAGAGAATTCGTTCGAGTTGAACTTAGAAATGATGGTTCTGCAGACGAGGTGAGCGTTATTCTCGAAGTCGAATGCTTGCTTGATTCACTAGAGGGTATATACTGCTTGGTAGTTGTTGAATCAGCATTCTTGGAAGATAGTGATGAAGTTGTTACCGTAGCATTTTGTATGGTTGAAGTTTCAATTGTAGTACGAAAGCTTGTAGCCGCGGTATTGGTTGAAAATAGGCTAGTAATTGGCTGAACAGAGTCACTAGAACTTGTACCTTGACTGGATGACCAAGGAATGGTACTAGATTCCAACGATATGGGAAGATCTGTTTCTGAATCTTCATTTGTTGTCTTAGTTTGTGAAGTAGACTTCTGACTAGTAGATGAAGTTTTTGAATGAATTTCTTGTGGCTTCGTGGATGTTGACAGTGTTTCAACTTTAGTCGTGGCTGCAGTTTCAGTTGAAGTTGTATAATTCTTAGAAACAAACGTGGTTGAAGATGGTACAACAGTTGAGCTAGGAGTGCTGGTTCTCGTAGTTATAGTTGTCGACAATTTCTTCGTAGTTTCAGTACTAGTTGGGATACTTGAAGTTGTTATCTTAGAAGTACGAGCAGTAGTTGTGCTAGTCTTTTGAGTGCTCCTAGTCGTTGTAGTTGGATAACAGACTGAATCTACGAGAGCTATCCCAGCATCTACACACTGAGCTGATATGAGATGATGATCCAGAAAATATAGAAGGATCAATATCAGCTTCAGACGCATTGGTTTAGAAATACTGAATATGAAAGACTCACATGCAATTGTTTCCAGGATACTCGCTGAGTACCATCCCCATTCATTTGTAATTACCATAGTAACATCTCGACGGTTACATATACTCGTATACTCATATCCAGAACATAAATATCTTATTTTTTGCAAAGTGGTTTTTTATTACAGAGTAAATTGGATAATGTTTCAGTTTCTCTCCACTAGATCCTGTTTACGTCAAGCAAAAAGGTTGACACGTTCCTCGTGTAAACAACTCATCAGAGAGAGATGCATGCTACGTCATTGTAAATATAAGCTTCATTTGTTTTAAGTGTATTTCTAATGTTACAGATGTATATACTTATCTTTGCCCTGATATCTTGGGCTGGAGCCATAGAATTAACATTCGAACTGCCGGACAATTCAGTTCAATGCTTTTATGAAGACATCAATGCTGGCGTTGAAAATATAATTGAGTTTCAAGTGAGTTACCTTCTCGAGAATATATGTTACTGCGGTATTTTTAAGGTAGTAACAGGTGGACAATATGATGTAGATATGACTTTAGAAGATCCGGAAGGCAAAGTTCTTTACAAAGATATCAAAAAACAGTATGACAGTTTTAATTGGAAGTCTTCTGTAAGATCATCATGTAATATGAAATAAATGTCATAGTTTTAGATTAACGGAACATATAAAGCTTGTTTTTCCAATGAATTCTCTACATTCTCTCATAAAATTGTCTACATGGACTGGCAGGTATTTAATAAGTCTTTTTCTCGGGCAAATTCGTTTTAGTCCGGAGATAAAGTCAATGCCAAACCAGTTGATCCTGGAAGCCCAGTAAATTTGATTGAGGGATCGATTGCTTCAATTGGTGATAAATTGAGATCTGTACGTTTTTGTGTTCAAATACTAAGTTATCCTAGACTTGATTTTAGATTGATGATTATCAAACTCACCATCGCTTGAGAGAAGCAACTGGACGTAAACGAGCTGAGCATTTGAACGAAAGAGTTTTGATTTGGAGTTTGGGCCAGACTTCAGTTATTGTTCTTATTGGAATAGCTCAAGTATATCATACGAAACATTTAATGAAATAGACATAACTTCAGGTTCTTCTCCTTCGATCATTTTTTTCGGATAAGAGATCAAGATACTAAAGCTAAAAACACAAGGTAAATCACAATTCCGTCCTTCTCGTCTGCTTGCATTTACAAAATCCTCTGCTACTGCCTTCCAACAATTCAAGTTTTTCAGAAGGTACTTTTGGTGGATCGACTAGTTTAACAGAATATTCCTGTAATTGAGATTTTCTGTATGTAATGAACCTAATTTATATTGTTTGCCATTTCTTTCCTTCATCTAATTGGGCTTATTCGGGATTTCTACATTGAATTCGAGGTTATTTATTTATTTCTTAGGCATAATGGGTTTCACATTATCAAAATCTTGAACACTCATACTCCTTGTGATTTGTTAGCAATTATAGTGAAAAAGCATAACATACCTTCATTAGTTTGATGTAGTAACAATAAAAGTTTTTACTTTGTAAATTATTCAAATAAAACGTTCTCATCTCTTCTAATATCTGAAACTTAACGTTTTTTACGATGTTCTGCATGGATAATTTACCTTTTCGTGATGTAAGTTTTTCAATGACTCGATTATCTCTTCGAAATTTTCCACCTCGAAAGGTATGAAGTGCTTGAAAGCTTTTAATTTAGAATACCAATGCTCGTAGTAAGGAGAGTTTGATTTCAAGATGATAGAGTCACCAGCTAATAGGAGCGGTAACCTATAAGCCGCCACTGTTCCATCTATGGACAACACATATCGGAACTAAAAAAACTTATAATAAGTTCATACGGATGCAAACCTTGAAAAAATCATTGAAGTTCATTCTGGGCTTCGTAGGAGGGTTTGAGGTTTCGTGGAAAAAAAAGTAAGTGGTTATACCCACATCCATCAGTTCGTTGTGCAATGCTTTTTCAGCTAACTCAATTCTGATCTGAACGAAGTTGAGTTGTTTCGCACGTTTACAAACCTCATTTGAATCTCTTCCACGGAACACTACTTTTGGACTTTTTTCAATCCATGGAATTCTGGGTAAACCGATGGAATGCATTGAATGACTACCAAAGTTTTTTGCCATGTGATAGTTAGCGAAGAAGTATGTTGGAACAACTATATCGTTGGTGAGCGTCGATCCACACCAGCTAATTATAGCAACATCCTATAAGTAAATGTTTCTAGAACTTCATATCTTCCTACATCTTCGAATCCTTTTCTAGATAACGGGTAATCTCCCAAGTTAAAGAGAAACTCAGTATTCGGTAACTCGGATATCGAGAGTATAGAGAGCAATGCTTCGTCGACGAAAATCCGGAAATCTGTGTATTCTCCATAACATTTGCGATATACCTCCAACGTAAATTAGATGTATCTGCCTAATGACATTACTTTATTGCTTATTATTTGGTAATGACAGAAAGAATAGGTTCTCGACATCTCTTCGCGTCCCCAATTTTGAATACTTTTAGATAAGTTGTTTGTGAAGTTAATCCGTTCGTATTGATCGAGGTCTTCCTTTATCTGAATTTCATCAGTTGGATAACTTCTCAGTGTGTTTCATACCTGTTCTTCTTCATCACATTGAGCGTGTTGAAGCCATTTATCCATTGATTGTGGGCAATCACAGTCATCCTGAACATCTTTATTCAACCATTAGGGAATCTTATTTCAAGAGTCAAACTATTTTCTACGACGAACGGAGAATCACAGAGCTGCGTGTTGTTTATACTGATAGAAACTTCGAAGTTTTCGCAATATGTCATCCGATGGAAACGAAGTATGTACAAACCATCTTCTCTGTCAACCATTTCGGAGGAAAAGCTAGATAAGATTCATGGAGAAGTATATTAAACTCCACTTACACACATCCATCTCCTTTCAGAGAATAGCTTAAAGGTCCAAGTGAGCGAGTATAATTTTCACCATTGTTACTCAGTTGTATAAACATGTATTGAATAGGAACTTTAATTTGTACAGTACCGAAACATGTTGCTGATATATCCGGATGGGATGCAACTCTTGACGAGAAAACAGTTAAAGCTAGAGCAATGGAACGCCACATGAATGTGCTGTTCACATGCAAAGATAGACGAGAGCGAAGCTATGGAAGATGTTTATGGATCTATAAAAAGGATAGTGAAAACTATTACGAGAGAGAAACAATACAATGATTCTACACAGTGCGAACAACTACACACACATAATACAATATATATCATACATTGTTCTCTAATCAAAAAAGTTCCTAGCCAGTTAAAGTTAAAATCATAGAATTCTAGGTGATTCGACAAGAAAAAAATTAAAAGCTCAAAGAATTAGAACGGATATTCATGCCTAACAGTGTTGGAAACAAAAATCTGTTAGAGATCAATCATTAAAACCTTATTTTAAGTCAATGCATTAGTAACCGTCATCTAATTTTCTTGTGAGTTCCTCGAGACTTCTCGCATTTTTATCGTTTAGATTCAAAAGGTTTTGTATACCAACGATGAGAGATTTCCTTTTCTCTCGGTTCAACAGTGTCTAAAAGAGTATCGATTAGTTTTTTGGCGCGTGAATTTCTTAAAGATATATTATGCTAATTAGTCATAACGATGACTTGTATCTATAAAAACTTTTTCAATTGTGATGTTTAGACGGCTAATGGACGGTTGCTTTTCTCAAAATTTCCGAACCATTTCTAATTTATCGTAGCGAATCATTATATCAATGATATTTTTGTAATATAAATACCTGTTCTGGTGAAGTTTCTTCAGTGATTACTTCTAGACCATCGATGTTTTCCATATGTTTCAAAGATATTTCTGTGAAAAGATTCAGCCTTTTGTCCATCTTCTTGATCATTTCACGGGTCTTCGCTTCTTTAGATCAGAGTTTTAAAACGCAATGAGCTTCCTGTTTCACCTTCCAAATACTCTTTATTTAACTCTTCCAAATCCCTCGTTATCCCAGCATATTGTTCTTGTAATTTCACAAGATTATCTTTCTCATATTTGATTAGAAGAGCATATCCTTGATCAATCTGTAAGTGTAGGTGATTATAAGAGTAACAATATTCAAAATTGCCTTCATAGCTTTCTTTGGTTTGCCCATTACAATCAGCTTATCGTTCTCTACGAAGTTGAACTCAACTAACGGTGTTGAATCTGGGCCAGCGAGCGTTTTTCCTAAAATATCTTTTTCATAAAGATTATGACGTTTTAATCTAACCTCGATGTATTATTTTAATACCCGATGCGTCGAAGTTTCCTTTATCTCCTATAACACTTCGCAATTCTCCTAAACTATTCAAAGCATTTTCTCCATCGATTATTTCGATCTGGCAGGAGTTTGATCCCATTTTCACGCTGATCTTCATTTCGCTTAAATACAACTTATATAATGTGTTTGATAAGTGAAAGTACAGAGAAAGAAGACTACATTTATATATATATATATATATATATATATATTCATATATCTATATGAATATATATCTATATACATTGCTATATAATAGAACAATTTGGTTAGAGAGCACTAGCAAGAGAGAAAAAACCAAGCGAACACGTCTCATTGCGTACACATCATACTTGTTGTTAAATCTTTCATAATTTCTAAGCAATTATTATTGCATCATTGATTAGTGAGATCAAAGTTGAGTATGTGATAAAATTCTAATTATAGCTTCTTGAATGATTAAACTTTTCAATTTTTACAATGCTGATCGTAGATTTAATATGTTCCGCTAACTTCTATTTAACTCAATTTTGAAAAACTAGTTACAGCATGGACACAAAAATATCAGAAACTCAAGGCCCTCCACCTTCTTATACGGAAATCGAAGCACAAACGAATGAAGCTGCTTCAGCCTCAACTGCATTCAACGGCTCTGGAACTCAAGTAGTTACACTTTTTGTCCCGTTTACCCAGCATTTCAGAGACATACCACCCCTCCTATGTTCATAACTGCTCGAACTTCGGTTTACGGACCTGCTCCTGTAGAGCTTGATTGTCCTCATTGTCAAGTTTGTTATTGGTATTGAACGAGATGTGATAATTGTTTTAAGGTACATATAGTAACACACATAGCTAGAGTGGCTGGAGTTCTACCTTGGCTAGTTTTTGGCGCTTGCGTAGTTCTTGGATTTTTTTTATTTCTTATTCCATGGTGTTTCTGCTGCATCCCTTTTTTCACAGATCAGTGTCTTGATGTACTCCACTCCTGCCCTTCCTGTAAGCGTCATCTTGGTCGGTATTCCCGAATTTAAGCGAGTTCTAGAATAATTTCTCCTCTCTTAATTTTTACTGTTCTTATGCGCCAAATTATGTAATTTTAACTTTCGAAGCGTATACTTCGAGCTCCACTGGTTCGTTCTGGGTGATTCTAACTAACTTTAGTCAGCATAATTAAGGGATATTTTAACTTCTTGCCAATGATATCTTGAAATGTTTTATCATCTCTTGCATAATAATCAGATTTCTGCGCATAACTTTTTCTCACTGTCAATATTTCCAAATTTAACACAGTTTCATATATAATAAACGATGAAGAAAAACAAAAGGCATACAATTTGAAATTCTATTGTGTTTCAACACAATAAACTATGGCAGATGTAGCTTCTAATTCTTGTTATTTGCTTATGTACTCTTTCCAATTCTTCTGTATGTTCCGACCCAGGCTTTACAAGATGGACAGTAGTGCTCTACGTCTTTGAAGGTATCCACGCAGAAAGGTACCTGAAGCATTCTTTAGCTCAATAAAAACTTTTTCAGCTTACCCAAAGGAAGAACAAAGGCAAAACTAATACTCCAGCCATTAAAATGACGAGGAATGCAATGAATGTGCAGAAACCATTAACGAAACGTAGTTCCGTTTCTCCATGAGCCTGTAACAGTTTGCTTTATAAGGTAACAAGTTGTTGAATCTAAAGTGTGCTTTCTAATGTATTTTTTGAGTGTTATACGTGTGTGTGTGTCGATGTTCTTGCCAAAGCGCACAGTAGAGCACCCTCGGGCACTTGAACTATGTAAACACTTGCTCCCTGCTACAGACACACAGTCCAAGCCAAAATTTTAGAGCCAATTGATCATTGCGAACAAGTATTAAAACGATTCAAGTTGAGCTTAGAGTTAAAAAACCAAAGTTCCTTTTACATACTTCACAAGTAGAGTATGTTTGATTTTGAACTGGTTACTTAGAACAACCAATTGAAACTCACCCTGCATCTAGGACAATCCAACAACTGTGGCCGATCTGATAAATATTTCTTGGCGTTTACCATCATAGATGGTGTATGCGAGGCAGATCTGCAAATGATTTTCATAGCAAAGGCACGCTCGATCCCAATGCTTCTACCTGTGAATGGGAATAGGAACGGATTTACTTGGTGGTGCCATTGTTGATAATTTTTCGTCAAATTGGTTCGTTTGGATAATTTACAAGTTATTACAGAAAGATCTGAAACAGTGGTGTCATCTGAGGGAAAATACGAAAAACCATCATTTGTTTTGAGATCGCAACTATGCCAATATATAATGGAGCTTTAGCAGGATAAAGAGGTATTAGTTTGATGAAGAGAGGCATATTTCGATATGATAGATACAAAGTATTTCAGGTAACTGTGAAAACGATTGTGAAATACAAAAAAATTGGACAGAATGTGAAAGAGGAGAAGAAGATAGTAAAATGGATGGATGAGGATAAGAATAAGTACAAGGACGGCACAGTTATATTGTTTGCACCAACATCGTGCGCTTCTTCTCATCGTCATCGTTCGAACCGCCTACTCCATCACATCTAAGTTCCATCGCATTCTCTGTTCCTGCTTCTCTTCTTCCTCTCTCCCAATACTCTTCTAGCATGCGTTCTAGTCTCATTCGCCTACCTTATCTATGTGATTTTTCGGACACTCGAAGAAGACTTCATTCAGGTGCTTACGGTCGTTTTCAACAACGTCTTCTGGGTTGCAACACAGTAAGAGGATGATTAAAAAAGCTTATTGGTCTTTTTCCGATTCCTATTGTTTTTTTCCAAACATGTATTTTTCCATATTTCACTTGTTTGCGGACTGTTTTTTCAGGCTGAATAAGAGTGAAAATGAACTAGGAAACAACGTGAGAGGAAGAGGGGGTGTTAGAATGGTAGGCATGTGTCTCATTGTCTTGCTAACTATACATTTATTTGTTCCTCTTCTGCTCTTTTCAAATATCAGAACACTTCATTTCCTGGGACGAGGGTGAAAAAAAATGAATAAAAAAAATTGAGAAGAGCTTCTGAAGGGACCAGCATTGTTGCGGGGGGGGGGGAAGCCAAACATTTCTTTTCAACATTTCGGGAGTTCATGATGAATTCTACTGAGACGTTGCTATGCTGCGTTGAAATATTGTTTCTGTGAGGAAGTAGAAATGCTTTATGTGCTTAGTTTATTAATTCGATAAGTTCACGCAAATTAATGAAGAAGAAAAGATTACAATCAAAGAGTTAATGCGTAGTCTCGGGTGCGTCATCAGTGTACAATCGGAATAATTGAGTTATTTTTAGATCTGTGGCTCTATTTATGTTACAGGTTTGTAGATTTTTCAGTTGAAGCTACAGAAAAAAAACGGAAGAGTTAGTCTTTGGGTCGTCTTTTCAATTTTACATCCAGCCACGTTACGATGTCATCTGGATCCGTTTGCTGTAATATTCCGAAACATGATCATGAAAGGAAGTGTCAAATGACATAAATCATAAAAGTTATTAGTTCTCTCTCGCAAAGGTAAAGTTTGTTGGGTTACATTACCTCAGTTGCAGGAACTAATATTTCATCCATCGACGAGCGTTGAGGACAAGGGCAATACCTAGGATGTTTTAGTTGTTTTGGCATTTTTTTCCTAACGAACTCTAAGTCTGTTCCAGGATCGCCTTGTTCACCCATCCCGCCTTCTATTCCGTTCTTTCCTGCTGAGCCAGGAATACCTTTGTCACCAGTAGAGCCAATAGGACCTTTGAATCCATTCCCAGGCTCTCCTATGTTACCTGTTTTACCTTTCGTGCCCATAGCCCCTCTCGGACCTGCAGTTCAGTTCATTAATATCAAGTTTCAGTGTTCTACCAGGAAGTCCTTTTCCGTAGAGAACATCTTCCCCTCGCTGTCCTTGTAAGCCTTTTATCCCACGCCTGCCATGAGGTCCTGGTGAACCTGCGAACAATCCTATTTCTCCTATCAGACCGTTTTGACCATTCACTCCAGATGGTCCCGATAGCCCCATGGAGCCCTAAACGTTAAATTGGTCAGTGGGATATAAAAATTAAATTTCACTGAATGTCCACGTGGTCCTTCAGGACCTGGTGGGCCCATAGGTCCGGCTGGGCAGATATAACATTCTTCGGTTATACTTGCGAGCAAATCTGAATGATCTAGCCCTGGAAGGCCGTCAGTTCCGGGCTTGCCTTCCTCTCCGTCCCACCCGTTATGACCTTATACATTTGATATCTTCTCACATTATTTATGGAAATACCTGCTATGCCGGGAGCACCCATGCACAAAGCGAGAAGTGGTGGAGGCGATACTGTTGGCTCCAAAAATATGTGATCCATGTTACCTGAGTTAACTGTTGACCGGTATTTGCGGAAGGGGAAAGGCAGGAATCCTTTAGGAAAACCGCTTTCTAAACAAAGATTAAGAGTTCAATAGTAGCCGGGAAAAACCTCGTCTTGAACGTTGAGATAATATTTGCAAAATCTCAAAAACCTTTTTCGACTTTCGCTGAAATAGGCAATTCGCAATAGCAAAGAACACGAAATCTGTTACCCGGAAAGATGATGTGTGAACATTCGCTTCTCCAGTAAAAGATCTTACAGCATTCAGATACTTTTCAGTTAACAGGAATACACAAACTAGGGTTGAGGCAGTGAAACAAATATTGAGAAGTAATAGACGGTTGTGCATGGTCATCGGGAAAAGAAATAGAAGGAGAACATCAAAAAAGTGCTCAACTATAACAAGACCTCTCAACAAGCATCCTTAACCTGGATAACAAAGAAAAATAGAAATCAGTTTTCCTCTGTGTTCAGTCATCGGCGTTTGTCTTCGAATCTTATCATAGCCTACAATGTCAGTGTGTAGAACAACTCCTCATTTTTTCAGAATAAAAAGCTCTCGATCTCAATTCCAAGAGTCTCTTGTTCATTTCCAAATACAAAGAAAAATTGATTGAAAATGCATGTTTTCGAGAGAGGGTTAGATTATTTTGCTTTTTCTTAATAGATGACTTGAACATTGTTCCGAATTCCAAGTTTATATTGTGTCAAATAGAACGCCAGCATCTGGTTTCAAATTTTTTGATGTTTTCCCAGCCGATTTTTCTTTATATGGACAGGTTCAAGACGTGTAATTCGAAAAAATATGCACTCCGATCCCATTGTTTGAACTGCTTTTCTCATCGTTTTCACCAATTTCCTTTTCTAGATTTATTTTGAATATTGCTTGATGTTAAAACGTTATTTTTGAGCAAAGAAGAGGTTTGAGTAATGTTCCAGAAAGGCAAGCCGTACAATGTACGGCGCGGAAATCTATATGTACGTGAGGTTTCACGTGCTCATTAGGCCCGACGGGTCGCTTCCCAGGCGGGAGGCTGATCTATGACACTCAGCTTCGCATTTTTTGAATTTTTAATTTTTCCCTCCCTCTGTATTTCGTGTCAGGACCAATTAAATTCTAAAATTATTTTCTATTCGTTTCCAGTTTTTTTTTGATTTTTTTGTTAATTTTCGTTGTTTTTTCAATGTAAATTAGATTTTCAGAAATTTTTGTGTTAGAATTCTCTAAGCATCTGTCTAAAACATTCCTTCCCATAAATGGTGTGCGTATCATTGTTTAGATTTATAAGTTTCTACTTGCTCTTCACCCGATATCGCTCCAATGGATGTTTTTTTGGCTTAATTTCCGTGTTTTGTCCCAAGGCAACTTTGCTACAACCCTTTCCAAAATTGTCAATATCCGGATCACTTTCGGACGAATTTGCTGAAAATTTGGAAATTTTGAACAAAATCTCAATTTTTGCTAATATTAAAGGCTTTAAGTTGCGGCAATCAAAGAGTTTTTCGAATTTTAATAAATATTTGATTTTTCTTGTGTTTTCTCTGTGATGAGATGGTTAAAACCGTTGTTACTTGTCTTTTTGGGTTGAAGATTTTTATAGCGAGCTTCTGTTCATTCAGGAGTTAACGATACCGCTCACTCGAGATAGAAGTTGATATTGAACTGGATAGGATCTCAACCACAAGCAATGATGATCGTAAGCAGCTGTGTTCGATAGTACTCTATGCAAATTGCTTCAATGTAAGTTGTTTTCCTAATTTCTGAATTTGGAGATGGTAATATATGAAATGGTCGTTCCGTGAATTTGTCAATCGTTCGAATGATCGGTACTCATGTCAAACTTGCTGGTTAAAATTTCTTTCATTTCGTAACTCTGATGACCAGCTCGATCTGCAGAAATGAATAACGCATGTGACACACAGAGCTAACGATGTTTCTTCCAGGCTTTATTATTTCCTGATAAGACCCGTGTGCTTGCTTTACGATATATCTCCTGGAGGGAAATAGAGCTGTCAGAATCAGTTCCATTGTCCCAGGAGAAGGCTCTATTATCGGGCACTCCATCAGTTTCATTACAACTCTACAATCATACGGAGAGTTTGCAGTCGTCAAGACAACTCAAGTAAGATATATCCAGTTGTTAATTGGTCATGTTTATTTCAGGTCGTTGTTAAGGAACCATGAAGCCTGTCATGAATTGAAGAGCTCGCATTCTAATCGGAAGTCGGATTATGAATGTACTGACTTCACTTGATTTTATTTTCAGTTTTTCAATGAGCAGAGCAGTAGCAGGTAAGATCGAGTGTTAATTGTGGTTTTGTCTTCACAGATTTGAAAGCAAGGAAGCAATATGTTGCTGTTTGATGGTTTATGTTAACATATTCATGTTTGTCTTATTTCAGGGATCAAAAAAATATAGCATCAAATAAATCAAATACTGCTCTTTAAGTTGTATCAAAGTCATCTTATAAGAAAGGAAATATTTGAGTCTACACCTCCTCCTTGTGTGAACCAAACCTCAATTCAAATCTTCAGATTTTGATGTGATATCTTGATAGTTTCTCTCTGTTACTTTTCCATCNTCAAATCTTCAGATTTTGATGTGATATCTTGATAGTTTCTCTCTGTTACTTTTCCATCTTCTCTCCCCCATAACAAGAGTATGCCGTGATCACAGTTATCATACCAGTAGCCAATCATGGTTCCCACCTGTTCAACTGAGGATTCGACTCTAACATACCCTGAAACTATTTCAAAAGGACTCAAAAAGTTTTTTATTGAATGAAACTTGATTATACTTAAGATACGCAAAATACAAGTCGTACAATGTACGGCGCGGAAGNCGACGGGTCGCTTCCCAGGCGGGAGGCTAATCTATGACACTCAGCTTCGCATTTTTTGAATTTTTAATTTTTCCCTCCTTCAAAAAATCTTGTCGGGACCAATTAAATTTTTGAAAAAAAAAAATATTTTCTCCATTTTTTTTTGATTTTTTTTGTTAATTTTCGTTGTTTTTTCAATGTAAATTTGATTTTCAGAAATTTTTGTGTTAGAATTCTCGAAGCATCTGTCCGAAACATTCCTTGCCATGGAAGTTTTCAAGAAAAGCGCAGTTCCAGATGTTGTTGACCTCACCTTGATCAGTTTCTCTATCATACCCTAAGGAACTTGGATCGTTAAAGCTCCCAAGTAAGGAGTGACACTTG